GTACACCCTATACAGCAACTAATGTGAAGAAACACCTTCCCCAATGGCGCTGTGAACTCAGAATCAAAAACGTGTACACATCAAATAAGTATCAAAGTCCATCAAATCATGTGAGTGTCACATTAAGTGCTCCAATCTTCTGGTCACTTTACATCCCAAACCAATATTGCCACGCGTACTTGAGACAAAATTCCCTCCTGGGTGTACACTCACCAGACCCACATGCCTCCCACTGTCATGGTTGGCATGTAATGCTTGTTGAGACTCCACTCAAAAGCACCGCTGTGTAAAGCTTCATAAAGCACCTTACTCCTCTCCACCAGGTATCATTGCCATGGAAAGATAAACAAAATCTCTGATGGTACAATAACTAATATTCAAAGTTTTATTCAATCAAAATGGAAAGCCACTCACAAAATTAATGAATTAAAAATGCTTATCATCAAAACACTGTGTATTGACATAAGATGTGGGTATGTGTACTCTCACCACCGCTGGAGTTCTCGGACAATGCTCTTCCAGTCCCGGCTCTGACGTCACATCCTGTCGCCTCATACCAACGCGTTTCGTCATTTCGAACTTAATCAAAAGGGATGGCTGCACGGAGCGGCGACTGCCCATATATGCTCTCCTCTTCACCGCTATTGGTCCATCATTCTCACTGAATGGAACGTTCTCCTAAACCGCCCATTTAAACATATAACCTATCATGCAATGACGGAACCAAATCTACCAATGCATTTCACCCTCATTGGCCAGGAGTTAAAAATTAAAAAGCAAAGTAGGACTCCAATAACTAAAAATATGTGATGATATATATATATATCACTCCCCAATATTCTTACCTAATGGCAAAGAGGAGATGTATATGGTGACACCATTCCATATAACCCATGATACAAGCTATAGAGCACATGGGTCAAACACAAGGCCTCTGGGCTGAATCCAGCCTGTCATGTGGTCCTCGCACCTCTCTTGCAGCTGTAGCACCTCCCTTGTCTCCTGCCCCCACATTGTCTTAGCAGTCAGCTTTAGAGTGGAGAACAGATCTCCTCCGTCAGATCCTTCTTCGTGCAGCCCACCCACCCCTCGTCCCTCGTCTTAGCAGTCGGCAGCAGAGAGGAGACAGAACCCATCCTACAGATCCTGCGCCTCTCTGTGCAGCTGTAGTACCTCTACATCTCCACCTACCTTCGTCTCAGCATTTATCAGATTCCAGCAGCTGACTCCAGCCCTCCTCTGGACATCCTCCAGACCTCTACTTTCTACTTTCCACCCACACCCCAACCTTTTTTCCCGGCAGCAGCACAAAGTAGGGGGGGGGGGCCACTGTGATGTAAGGAAGGTGAGGAGTTCTTGACATCTGATGTTGTGGGTGGGGTGCTCTGGACATCCAGTCTTACAAACACAACCTGCCCTTTGAGGACAACCATAATGCTGATGCGGCCCACAATGAAAAGGCATTTGACTCCCCCGCTATAGAGGGATATGGTTTGTTTATATTTCATGTCAGAGGTTTACAACCACTTTAACCCACCCAAGGCTATGACTGGACAGTGAAAGAAGCAGCACAGTGATTAATTCATCTCTCTGTCACTCTGCACTCTCCTCCTATTAGCATGCCTCTTGTCAGCACATGAATTGATTGGCTCCTTGTGCTGCTTCTTCCTCTCTCTGGCCCTGCTGTACAAGAGGCTGATACCGGGTCAAATGTAAATACTTCAACTGCTTACATTTAAAAACCAAATTTCTTATATATTAGTGAACACACCACTGCATTTATTATATTATTGTCTTTTATATCTGCCTAGAATTCATCTTTACAGAGGACCTTCAGTAACTGTAGGCTGCAGCAGGGGCTAATGGCTGTCAGACATTTGTGAACACAAGATAGAACTGCACAGACACCAGGATTTAGGTTATTGTGTCATCTCTGGTTGGCATCTCTGTCCAGGAAGTGGAAGTTGAGCCTGATTGATGCCTAAATAAGATGGCTCCATCCTTCTAGAGAAAAAAACAGTCATTGAAGTCATTGTCAGGGTAATAATATGATCTCTATGAGAGGTAATAAATACCTGGAAGTGTTACACTTATACATTATTCAACTTGCAAGTCCTTGACGGATATGAAATATACACTATATTGGTAAAAGTATTGGTCGGCCTGCCTTTACACGTACATGAACTTTATTGGCATCCCAGTCTTAGTCCGTAGGGTTAATATTGAGTTGGCCCCCCCCTTTGCAGCTATAACAGCTTCAACTCTTCTGGGAAGGCCGTCCACAAGGTTTAGGAGGGTGTCTATGGGAAGGTTTGACCATTCTTCCAGAAGCGAATTTGTGAGGTCAGGCACTGATGTCGGACGAGAAGGCCTGGCTCACAGTCTCCGCTCTAATTCATCCCAAAGGTGTTCTGTCAGGTTGAGGTCAGGACTCTGTGCAGGCCAGTCAAGTTCCTCCACCTCAAACTCCCTCATACATGTCTTTATGGACCTTGCTTTGTGCACTGGTGCGCAGTCACGTTGGAACAGGAAGGGGCCATCCCCAAAAGTTTTGGGAACTAAGTTGGGAGCAAAATTGTCTTGGTATGCTGACACCTTAAGAATTCCCTTCACTGGAACCAAGGGCCAAGCCCAACTCCTGAAAAACATCCCCACACCATAATCCCCCCTCCACCAAACCCTACACTTGGCACAATGCAGTCAGGCAAGTACCGTTCTCCTGGTAACTGCCAAACCCAGACACGTCCATCGGATTGCCAGACAGAGAAGTGTGATTCATCACTCCAGAGAACACATCTCCACTGCTCTAGAGTCCAGTGGTAGTGTGATTTACACCACTGCACCAACGCTTTGCATTGCACTTGGTGATGTAAGGCTTGGATGCAGCTGCTTGGCCATGGAAACCCATTCCATGAAGCTCTCGACGCACTGTTGTTGTGCTAATCTGAAGGCCACACCAAGTTTGGAGGTCTATAGCTATTGACTCTGCAGACAGTTGGTGACTTCTGCGCACTGTGCGCTTCAGCATGCGCTGACCCCGCTATGTCATTTTACGTGGCCTACCACTTCATGGTTGAGTTGCTGTTGTTCCCAGTTGCTTCCACTTTGTTATAATACCACTAACAGTTGACCGTGGAATATTTAGTAGAAGGAAATGTCACAGATGGACTTATTGCACAGGTGACAACCTATCACGGGACCACGCTTGGATTCACTGAGCTCCTGAGAGCGGCCCATTCTTTTCACAAATGTTTGTAGAAGCAGTCTGCATGCCTAAGTGCTTGACTTTTTACAGCTGTGGCCATGGAGGTGATTGGAACACCTGAATCCAATGATTTGGAGGGCTGGCCCAATACTTTTGGCAATACATATAGTGTATATCTGATGTCAGGTGTGCTCTATAGCACCTGTACGTAGTAATATACACCATGCCTTTAGAGAGACAGGTAGGGGGGGAAGTACACTTTGTGACTGGGTTCAAGAGGAGTAGAAATGCTAATAAACAGATGACAGTCTTCTATTCTTGCCACTACAGTATTGAACAATCATGCTCAAGTGGACCATTCATTCAGACTATCTACATATCCAATTGCTATTGTGTCTCCTAAAATAAGCCTATATAACCTCTGTAACAGAGCCTGCAGGATTTATGGCTTAGGCACACCTCTCCACCCATGTAACAGTGCTCTGGTCTTGGTGATAGGCCGCTCTTAGGTAGCCATCAGGTTCAGGATGGGGCAGAGAATCATGCTCACTCTGCCCATACCCAAGATGTCAGCTTTCTCCAAAGACAGTTCAGCTGCACTGTTAGGCTTAGTTTACTCTTTTGGTTGGGAGGCGGTTGAGCTGCATTTTTACTCCTCCATCAGTTCCAGTAATTTCCACCTCACCGCACCCATCACCCTCCATGTGCACCATATGTTTGTCTCTGCTGCCCAGGCCCCACTGTGTGCCCTCACCCCCCCCCCGGAGGTTCTGACGGCTTCCCTCCTCTCCCTCCCATCGGCAGCTGCAAGCACACAATAGGATCCTTTAGGATGGAGAGTTGGGGAAGAATCTGGTAAATATGTCACATTTAGCAGCCCCATCTTTTCCCGAATGAACACAATGAGTGATGTGTACCGATCACTCACTGTGTTCATTCATAACTGAAGCCTAGTGAACTGTGTTTTTTTTGGGGGGGAAGCCTGTCAGGTTGGCTGTATGGAGCCCCGTGGTTTCTAACAACAGCCTGGGGTCCATCCATATGGTTTTGTACATTAGGGTATATTAATGTGGCTTGGTATGTTGGGGTCCATACCTATGGTTTGGTGTGTTAGGGTTCATTCATATGGTTTGGTGCATTAGGGTTTATTCATGTGGTTTGGTATGTTAGGGTCCATACCTATGGTTTGGTGTATTAGGGTTCATTCATATGGTTTGGTGTGTTAGGATCCATTCATATGAAGACCCTTAGTGTGTCCCGCTCCACATCTAAGGTACAACCACTGTGTAGGAAAGCAAAGAAGGAAGCAGAGCTTGCATAGGTAATGAGTATATCTGGCTACTGTCATGTACATTTGTGATCACAACCTATTCATAGAGCAAAAACTCAAGGATGCATTCCCACTTTTGTGTTTTGGTGCATTGCTGGTCTGCTGCATTAAACCCCCAACTCAAAGGATGAAGGAAACCTATGATGTCACACAACCAGACTAAAGATACATGGAAAAGGGGCACAAATAAAGTCTAAAAAAAACCCCAAAAAGAGTCAGAGGGGTGACTCCAGTGTGGGGCTTCAAAACCAGGGGTGGGGGCCTTGGCCAGAGGTTGGGCCTGCGGGTTCCATCTTTAGTGTGGTTTCCACCAATACTCACTTTCCGTAGGAATGAATGGTAACTAAAATAAAATGTGTCAAAATGTCAAAAACTACACCTATCAGAGATACTGTATGTAGGTAGTCAATGCCTTTATGAGGACTGCTCACTCCCTGTCTCTGATCTATTGTGTTCTTTATACCTAGGCATTGTACGGACGTCCTGTGCTGCATCATCTTTGTAGTGGTAATTCTGGGATATATTGCACTGGGCATTGTCGGTAAGTGACAGTTAAAGGTTACATTTGTATGGCTATCACTCAAAAAAATACTGCTCTTAAAGTGTATATTGCCCTAAATATATTTTTTTTTCTATGTGTGTGTTCATATATGTGTATTTTATAAATCATAATTTTCTATCAATAGTATGTACCTCTTCCATCCAAAGTACTTGGTTGATCCTGCCAGTCACCTTTCTTCCTTGTTCTAAAGTGACCACACAAGGCACAGAAGCAAATCTGTGTTAGCGTGGTCAGTTTTCATCCTTTGGCTGGCCATTCAGAGGTACAGGACACTGTGGAGACACACAGCATGCCTGTATTGCGTAGTTTTTTTTAGCCATCACACCTTCCTAACTAATGGCAGACTGCGGCTGGCACACATCCCCTCCCAATCACGGATTGCTGCTTGAACATGCCCTCTGCTCAAGCACAGCCTGCACCCTGGCTTAGGCTAAACAGACTATAGAATGCAGGCTCACCGTGTGTCCACACAGTGTCCTGTAACCCCCCCCCCTACTATCAGGAAGAGGAGATGCATGGTTACATGACAGAATTTTTTAACCTTGTAAAAAAAGGCAAGAAAGATCATTCCTGAAACTAAGTACAAGCAGTTATGGGGCTTTTCATAGTTATACCTGTATTGGAAAGTGTCTATAGCATTGTATGTTCAACTACTTTAAGTAATGTGTGACTAACATCTAAATCCTAAACCAAGAATTTGGTGGCTGGTGGTTTTCCTTTTTCAGTCTAAGAACAGTTTCACTTTGTACAGAAAATACCTGTTGATCCTGACAGAAATGTAATGTCCTTATCACTTCATGTGAGCTGAAAAGAAAGAAAAACAAACTATAACAAATAGGGGACCTTCCCAGAGGGGACACAGGCAGTGACGAAAACATTTGACGCATACTTTAGGCTGCTTTCACACTGATGTGTTTCTTCCCCCAGTACAAATCAGTAGTAAAACCTCATCTGGAATATGCAGTTCAGTTTTGGGCACCAATTCACAAAAAGAACATTGGGGAACTGGAGAAAGTACAGAGAAGGGCAACCAAACTGATAAGAGGCATGGAGGAGATCAGCTATGAGGAAAGATTAGAGGAACTGAATTTATTCTCTCTTGAGAAGAGGAGATTAAGGGGGGATATGATCACCATGTATAATACATAAGGGGGGATATGATCTCCATGTATAATACATAAGGGGGATATGATCTCCATGTATAATACATAAGGGGGGATATGATCTCCATGTATAATACATAAGGGGGGATATGATCTCCATGTATAAACATAAGGGGGATATGATCTCCATGTATAATACATAAGGGGGGGATATGATCACCATGTATATAATACATAAGGGGGGGATATGACCACCATGTATAATACATAAGGGGGGGATATGACCACCATGTATAATACATAAGGGGGGATATGATCTCCATGTATAATACATAAGGGGGATATGATCGCCATGTATAATACATAAGGGGGGATATGATCTCCATGTATAATACATAAGGGGGGATATGATCTCCATGTATAATACATAAGGGGGGATATGATACCATGTATAATATAGGGGGGGATATGATCTCCATGTATAATATACATAAGGGGGATATGATCTCCATGTATAATACATAAGGGGGGATATGATCACCATGTATAATACATAAGGGGGGATATGATCGCCATGTATAATACATAAGGGGGGGGATATGATCTCCATGTATAATACATAAGGGGGGGGGGATATGATCACCATGTATAATACATAAAGGGGGGGGGATATGATGTCCATGTATAATACATAAGGGGGGGATATGATCTCCATGTATAAATACATAAGGGGGGGATATGATCACCCGTGTATAATACATAAGGGGGGATATGATCACCATGTATAATACATAAGGGGGGATATGATCACCATGTATAATACATAAGGGGGGGGGGATATGATGTCCATGTATAATACATAAGGGGGGGATATGATCTCCATGTATAATACATAAGGGGGGGATATGATCACCGTGTATAATACATAAGGGGGATATGATCTCCATGTATAAATACATCAGTGGTTCATATAGTGAACTCGGTGTAGAGTTATTCACCCTGAGGTCATCACAGAGAACAAGGGGGCACTCTTTACGTCTGTAGGAAAAGAGATTTAATCTCCAAATACGGAAAGGTTTCTTCACAGTAAGAGCTGTGAAAATGTGGAATAGACTCCCTCAAGAGTTGGTTCTGGCCAGCTCAGTGGATTGCTTTAAAAAAAGTCCTGGAATCTTTCTTGGATACACAGAATATAACTGGATATAACATTTATAGGTAAAGTTGATCCAAGGAATATCTGATTGCCTTTCGTTGGATCAGGAAGGATTTTTTCCCCTGCAGGAGCAAATTGGATCATGCTTTGCTGGTTATTTTTTTTTTGCCTTCCTCTGGATCAACTGTGGGTGTAGAATTATAACATTTTTTTTTTTAATGGCTGAACTGGATGGACTTTTGTCTTTTTTCAGCCAGACTAACTATGTAACTATGCTGCATTTTTTATGCAGTTTTCAAATCTGCACCAAAAACAGCTCCCCTTTGAAACAAATGGAAGACATGGTAAACAATGCATCCACTACGCACCGTGTTTGTGTTTTTGGTGAATTTTTAGAGTTAGGAACTGCAGAATATTGGAGTGCCATGAAGAGGATCTGCAACTTATTCATGTATTTGCAAATGTGTGCTACCTAAAGCCCTCTTTTTAATGCACACTGTTAGACAGGACAGTTTGGTTGGTTCTAGTCTGGTTGGTAAGTTGCACTAGGAATTTTTCTCTTTTATTATTTGACATGCGTTGTCCTTCCATGTGGTCCTTGCTGTGAAGGCCAGTTATAGATTGGAGAAGTGGCCGTACTATTTCTCACCAGTGCATAAACCAGAAAACGTGGCAAAAATGCATCTGCGTTCTTACCACTTTTTTTGCAAGGGAACAGTGTGAAAAGCAGCCTTGGGGTTATTCTATTAATATAAGAACTGTACGGGATTTGGACTCTTTATCTGGATTACAGGCTAGTAGCCTCTCAACGCCAAAGAGTTCCTAGTGACTGAAAACTCTGGAATTGAAGTGACACACCAGAAGATTTAAAGTCCACATAAAAAGAGAGATAAAAGAATTTGTCACAAAAGCCAACGCATTTCGGGGGTTAGAAAACTCTTTTATCAGGGAAACAAAATACAACAAGTACAGTATATAAGGTCTCTTGCACACTGTAACTTAAAAAAGCTCAGTACAGTGCTTTACAATATAAGGGAGACAGTACAATTACAATACATTTCAGTACCGAAAGAATAGGAGGAATAGAATTATTATTTTCAACATTCATAGATTTTGCTTATGGAATGTATTGTGTGTTTGAATGCGCATACACGAATACGCACGAATACACACAATAATAATTGTCAGGAATCAGGGAATGACCAGAAAGGTGTGGACTGACACAGGGAAGCGCAGGTTTCAGGTATAGTATAATACAGGTTATTATTAGCCACCCCAATATATATATATATAAACGCAACGCACAGTGAGCAAACTAACCTTCCACTAATCTTAGGAGGTGCAGGAACACAGGCGTAGTCAGGGCTGGAGAGGTGGAATGGTCAGGCCGCCGTAGGGTTCTGTAACGACTGCCTGGTGGTACCTCTAGCGGTCCTCAGGGCAGGATTCCCCAGGGCGGGAGTCTAAGTCCCAGTCTGCTATTCACCAGGGCCCCTGATGTGGGAGATGGACTTGGAGCAGACAGGAACCAGGTCGCAGCCCCTGAGTACACCTGCTAGTGATAGAGGGATCCGCCAGAGGTATGTGCAGGTACTGCTGGATCCGTGCAGGATGGATGGATGGCAGAGTAGTGAGCGTGGTCAGACGGGCCAAGTCAGCAACGTGCGGGCAGCAAGGTATCAAAGGAGCAGGGCAGAGAATGGTCAAGGTCACAAGCCGGGTTCAGTAACTCACGGACAGCGCAGTACAGAGGATCAGGCAGAAGGATGGTCAGGGATGAGCCAGTAGTCAGAACAGGAGACGGTCAACAGGAATCAGGATCAGGCAGGGTCGGCAACAAGGTATCTTCTCACAGGAACTAGGAACAGGATACAGGGGCTCATGGGAAAACATACACCAAGGCCCAGAGCACAGGCCTGGTCATGCCTTATATACACCTTTCTGTAATCAGCCCCAGGTTTGGCTGATTGTGAGCTTCTGGCTGCTAAGAGCACCCGCTGGTCAGCTCTGGTACTGCAGCCCACACGGCAGGAGAGTCCCACCACCAGTGCTGAGAGCACCCGCTGGTCAGCTCTGGTACTGCAGCCCACACGGCAGGAGAGTCCCACCACCAGTGCTGAATCCATTCCTGACAATAATAATATTAACAAAATGACAAGTAACATTGAAATTACGTTCAGAAATACTAATGCTCAAACATCAGTGCCATCTGCTAGAGGCCTTAAAAAGTATAAATAGATAAAATTCTAATATGGTGTTAATATCATATATGAAATGCCTGATAATAAAAATATTAACATAATGAATATCTATCTAAAATAAATAAATACAGTTGCAAAAAAAAGTATGTGAACCCCTTGGGATTACGTGGAGTTTTGCATGAATTGGGCATAAAATGTGCAATAGAAGAACACAGTCTGCTGAACATAATACTACACAAACATTAGATGTTGCCATGGTTTAATTGCACATAACATGTAAACATTCACAGTGCAGGGAGGAAAAAGTATGTGAGGCCCTAGCTTAATGACTTCTGCCAGAGCTAATTGGAGCCAGGAGTGAGCCAACCTTGACTCCAATCAGTGTGATGATATTGGATGTGTTGCTGACAGCTGTCCTGCCCTTAAAAACACACACACCTGTTTTGGGTTTACTGGTTTCAAGAAGCACTGTCTGATGTGAACCATGCCTCGCAGAAAAGAGCTCTCAGAAGACCTACGATCAAGAATTGTTGACTTGCATGAAGCTGGAAAGGGTTACAAAAGTATCTCCAAAAGCCTTGATGTTCATGTGTCCACGGTAAGACAGACTGTCTACAAATGGAGAACGTTTAGCACTGTTGCTACTCTCCCTAGGCGGGGTCGTCCTGTAAAAATGACTGCAAGAGCACAGCGCAGAATGCTGCATGAGGTAAAGAAGAATCCCAGAGTGTCAGCTAAAGACCTACAGAAATCTAGGGCACATGCTAACATTTTTGTTGACACATCTACAATAAGGAAAACATTAAACAAGAATGGAGTACATGGGAGGACACCACGGAGGAAGCCATTGCTGTCTGTCCAAAAAGAATATTGCAGCACGTTTGAAGTTTGCAAAAGAGCACCTGGATGTTCCGCAGCACTACTGGCAAAATATACTGTGGACAGATGAAACCAAGATTGAGTTGTTTGGGAAGAACACACAACACTATGTGTGGAGAAAAAAAGGCCCAGCACACCAACATCAAAACCTCATCACCACTGTGAAACATGGCGGAGGGAGCATCATGGTTTGGGGCTGCTTTGCTGCCTCAGGGCTTGGACGGATTGTTGTCATTGATGGGAAAATGAATTCCAGAGTTTATCAAGACATTTTGCAGGAAAACGTACGACCATCTGTCCGCCAACTGAAGCTCCGCAGAGGATGGGTGATGCAACAGGACAATGACCCAAAGCATACAAGTAATTCAACACAAAACAATGGCTGCAACAGTACAGAATACGCCTTCTGGAGTGGCCCAGTCAGAGTTCTGACCTCAACCCGATTGAAATGCTGTGGCATGACCTTAAGAGAGCGATTCACACCAGACATCCCAAGAATATTGCTACACTGAAACAGTTTTGTGAAGAGAAGTGGTCCAAAATGACTCCAGATCGTTGTGCAGGTCTGATCTGCAACTACAGGAAACGTTTGGTTGAGGTTATTACTGCCAAAGGAGGGTCAACCAGTTATTAAGTCCAAAGGTTCACATACTTTTTCCTCCCTGCACTGTGAATGTTTACATGTTATGTGCAATTAAACCATGGCAACATCTAATGTTTGTGTAGTATTATGTTCAGCAGACTGTGTTCTTCTATTGTTGTGACTTAGATGACGTTTAGAGCACATTTTATGCCCAATTCATGCAAAACTCCACGTAATCCCAAGGGGGTTCACATACTTTTTCTTGCAACTGTAAATAAATAAACATTTGCTAATTATGAAAAACAATCAAGTGATAATTAAATGATATTAGAAATGGAACAAAAATCATGTTATATGCTACAATATGATGCAATATATTAAAAATATTAAATCTTAGCAGAGGAAGAACCTAAAACTACAATAAAAAGCTAAAAGCCTTAAGTGTTCCTAAACCCACAGCAGTAAAATCAGTCTGTATATGCAGTAAAGCATGCTTGTTATACTCTCTGTGAAACCTAAGGGCTTAATTCTCTGCACTGTGTAAAAATTCTTATCTCCTGATAAGACATATTGTGTGCAGTCACTCTGCACATGCTCAGTTTGGTGTGTAATGCTAGAGAGGCTTTTTTTGCATTACACGTATAGGACAGCCTACTCACTTAAATGGGCTGCCCTGTGCGTTACAAATGCACCAAAGATACTCCAGCACCTTTTCAATTGGTGAGCTTCACACAGGTTTTATTACCATATATTTTGTCGCACGACAAAATGTGCATTTGCTAACCATTAGGTGTTAATGGCACCGCAAGCGCGATGTGTGCGTATCCAGAATGTGCAGGTGTGAATGGGACCTTTTGCAATTAGCTGTGGGAGACCAAGCAGAGGTTTCCTGCGATAAGCTGCAGGCAGGAACCTCTATTAAAAGCAATGGGAGGCTGACAGCTTCCACAGCTCTTTGTGACCGATTGCCCTGGACGCAGACTATTTGGGTCTTCTGCAGCCACTTGCAATAGGCCCTGTTCACATCTGGTGATTTGGGATTATGGCGGAGTAGCTGCGATTCCAAATTGCTCTACAATTGTGGCAAAACGCATCACGCGTGTTTGGGTGCCATTCATTTTTAACCCCCGGCAACACTCCGGCCCTTTAAGGGGTTTCTGATGCCTGAGAGACAGAATAGCAACAAAAAATTCAAAAGAAATGCATGTCTAACAAATGATGTACTGATATGCATGTTCATGCAGGAAATAAGTATTTGATCCCCTTCACAAAACATGGCTTAGTACTTGGTGGCAAATCCCTTGTTGGCAATCACAGAGGTCAGATGTTTCCTGTAGTTGGCCACCAGGTTTGCACACATCTCAGGAGGGATTTTGGCCCACTCCTCTTGGCAGATCCTCTCCAAGTCATTAAGGTTTGGTGGCTGACGTTTGGCAACTCAAACTTTCAGCTCCCTCCACAGATTTTCAATCGGATTAAGGTCTGGAGACTGGCTAGGCCACTCCAGGACCTCAATGTGCTTCTTCTTGAGCCACTCCTTTGTTGCCTTGGCCGTGTGTTTTGGGTCATTGTCATGCTGAAACACCCATCCACGACCCATTTTCAATGCCCTGGCTGAGGGAAGAAGGTTCTCACCCAAGATTTGATGATACATGGCCCCGTCCATCGTCCCTTTGATGCGGTGCAGTTGTCCTGTCCCCTTAGCAGAAAAACACCACCAAAGCAGAATGTTTCCACCACCATGTTTGACAGTTGGGATGGTGTTCTTGGGGTCATAGGCAGCATTCCTCCTCCTCCAAACACGGCGAGTTGAGTTGATGCCAAAGAGCTTGATTTTGGTCTCATCTGCCAGCTTGATTTGGGTCATTGTTATGCTGGAACACCCATCCACGACCCATTTTCAATGCCCTGGCTGAGAGAAGAAGGTTCTCACCCAGGATTTAATGGTCCATTGCCCCGTCCATCGCCCCACCGGCCGAGAGGCTGCATATTTGCATACTCTCAGTGCAAAGAGGTTAATGGCACCTCAAACGCCTTGCGGTAAAAACGCGGTAAACTGCATCACTCGAAGCTTGTTGCGCAAGAGGGAGCAGGAGCTTCTTTTGCGCAACATGATTCATGGCAAAACCGTACAGCGTTTGAGGTGCCACTAAAAATGAATGGCACCCAAACACGTTTGACGCATTTTGCCACAATTGCAATGCGATATGGGGTTGCGGGCAGAATCGCGGTGATTCTGCCAACAATCCCAAATCGCCAGATGCGAATGGGGCGTTTGGCATTCAGGCAAATTGAATACTGATCTTTGTCTTTGACATTTGCCCTATATACCTGACCAGAACAACTTTGTTCAGCTCTATCACCCCTGTAACTTCCATTCTATTCGGAAAGCCGTTGCGGCAGTAGAAATCTCTTTGAAATGACTGGATAATTCTAAAATGAAGCCGCCACTTTCCGTATCCTCATTTTCTTGCCGCTAATAATCTGCCGGAGAACAGGTGGTGTTTTCCAGACTGACCATCACCATTAATAGAGAGACCAGCAGCTGCTGCATTTTCTGCTCCCGTGATTTGCTAAATTGCAGGAGGACGAGCCTTTGGCAGGCAGGATCTGGACTAATAGCGAGCATTTCATTTCATGTTAGAAGAATGGAGATCCAGTGTGCGGAGTCGGCGGATTATATCTGCTATAACTGGCGGGTACTGTCTGAAAATAATGAGTGAATTCATGAATTCACTTTCAGCAGCATTCATTTACATTGCAGAGCATTCTACTTCTATAAACTTGAAGTATAGCTCACGAGGCAGAACTAAGGGCTTACTTTGCTGCAACATTGATGTGACTTTACACTTTCTGGCAATTAAGTCGCATCAACATAGTGCAGGAACCTTTTCAAAGTCGCTGCAATTTTAAGTTGCTTTGATCTTATCGGGTGCCATTGAAAACAATGGACTGCGACTGCAATTTGTTATGTGTCCAAAGTCGCATGACAAGTCGCACAAGTGTGAATGGATCTGATCTGAAGAGTGGTGTTGGGGCTCTTTCACGCTGGCGGTAATGCTTACAGCATCCACAGTGGACTGTTTTCCAGAGGGCGGTATAGCAGCAGCAGGCAGTAGTCCCTCCTGACTCCTGATTGTTGTTTTTATTTATTTATTTTTTTTCAAAAACTGGACACCAATTTTACATTGCGACACTGTGCGGCAACTCAGAGCCAACTGAGAGCCTCATATTTGGGCAGCACAGTGGCTAAATGGTTAGCACTTCCGCCTGGCAGTACTAGGGTCGTTGGTTTAAATCCCAACCACAGCATCACCTGCCTGGAGTTTACATGTTCTCCCTGTGCCTGCGTGGGTTTCCTCCAGGTACTCTGGTTTCCTCCCATACTCCAAAGACATGGTTAATGGAACCGGACCCGGACTGCACTAGGGTATTTCTGTTAGACTCCCGCTTCCCACAGATCCACGGACACCACCCTTGAAATCATTCAGGAAATAGACTGCTTTATTTTAACACCGACACAAGATATAAACATTCAAGAGAACAACCCACCTCCCTGCATAAGGACACAGGGCGGGGCAAACCAAATCTAGCAATAAGAAACACATCAGCAGACAGTCCCATCAGGGGAAGGGCTGCCGGAAACAGCCCCCCACCAAGCCAATACACAAACACATACATCCCATAATAGTTTGCTCCCAAGCAAGACACACAATAGAACAATGGGATGCACCACATGGCAGTACAATGAACAACCCCCACACCCCACCTATAATGTCTACACAATATCAGGACATTCCACCCTGTACCCCTAACAGGCACAGGGTGACTTACACATAAGAGGGATATGGGGAGCTGAGACCGGGGTCTCCCCACCCCTCTAAAGTGAGCTGGGTTCCATGGGCCCCCCACCCAAAGTTACTCCCGTCACAACATGCTGGTAGGTTAATTGGCTCCTGTCTAAATTGGCTCTAGTATGTAGATGTATGAATGTAAGATAGGGAGTTTAGCTTGTATGCCCCTTGAGGGTTAGGGACTGATGTGAATGTACAATATATATGTAAAGCGCTGCCTAAACTAGCGGTGCTATATAAGTACCTGAAATAAATAAATAAATGTTTGTGTTGAGGCCCCATTGATCTGCATGGCACTGCCTGGCAAACTCTGTAGCCCAAGTTAAAAGCAAGGCATCGCAGCATTGCTGCCGTGGTCAGGCCTGTTAAAATTCCAATGGGTGGCCTGGGGGAGAAGGTGGTAAAATTGTGGCTCAGCCACATCCTTTTATTGCCCACAGCTGCGAGTGTAAAAGGCCTTTACAGAATAATTTTTGGCAGGTGATAGAATTTAAATTTTGCTACCCTACAAAACTGTTTTTACAACACTATTGCTGTTTAAAGCTGAACTTCAGGAAAAAAAGAGAGCCCATTCAGTGGTCTCTGCATTCCAACAGTTAAATGTGGTCTTATCCCTCGCTCCTGCAGGCTTCTTCCCAGCTGCACAACTGGTCCCCCACATTTTAAACTTTTTCTCTTGAACTCCTCTTAATAAAAACGTTCTGTGTACTTCCTGTGCCTAGGTATGCCTGTGCCTTCAGCCTCATAGCCTATATCTGCAGTGTGAAATCTAAGGTGCAGCTGTCTCTGACTGATAGTCTTGGAGTGAGATTTGGTGGTGTCATGAGTGTGGTGCTCACTGTACTCCTTGCTGGAGAGAAAGCTGTAGTGTAAGGATCTCTCTGCTTCGTCTTATCTATTCTGTGCTTCCTGCACCTCTTCTGCTGCTTTCTGACTATCCTCCCACCAGTCATCAGGTTCTAATATGAGGAAGCAAAGCCCTGCCTCTACCAAGGTGACTGCCTCCACTCAGTGACACAATGCCAACAAGGCTTGGTAATTCAATAATGGGGAAAGATCAGCTGCGGGGAGGCCTGCAGGAAAAACTGGTGACTAGTCTGGTCCCTTCTGCTTACATTTTGGCCAGAGCTTACACAGTTCAGGTCCTCTTTTAACCTCCCTGGAGGTATTCCCGAGTGTAGCTCGGGGTAAAGTTTCAGTACCACAAGCTACACTCAGACTTACCATGCGGCGCTGCTCCGCGATCCCTCGATCAGTTACCTTGTCCTGCGCTCCCGCGATGTCCCCCTGCAATGTCCCCGGCAATGTAATCCGGTGGATGCCGGCATCTGTCATCTGGGTTCCGTTCCCTGCGAGCGTTGGGACGTACGGGGGACGGAATGGCGGTAAATTTGAAAATGACAAAAAGTAACATTTACTAAAATCACATAGTATAACATTACTGTATCAAACCATTTCACATACATTTTGTCCCTACTGCTTTGTCCTGTGCCCTGCCTGCATTTTGACTGTTCTTTCTGCCTGGAAACTGAGAAACGTCCATGGCGTCCAAAAAGCGTCCCTTTAGGTCAAAAGCGGTTTTAGACCGGCTAGAGAACAGCGATAGTAAATCAGAACCACTTGCAGAATTGAGTGATAATGATTCGTGGGGGAAATTCATCATCAGACACTGAAAACAGTTCTGCGACTTTGCTCAGCGATGTGCGAACTTGGCGCTCTATTTCAAATTTCAGTGTTTTTGGTTTGATTATATTATTGAATTAAATTTATTATTATTATTATTATTATTATATTATTATTTTTTATGATTATTTATTAAATTATCATTTATGATTTCGTTTTTTATCCTACCTGGGATGTTTACTAGACTCTTGTTCGGATAGATTTCAGTGAGTTATTCCTAAAAATTACAGGCCTACAATAACATAAATACATATCTCCATGCAAAAAAATGTACCGCTTTGAGCACAGAAATATGGACATAATCAGACCGCTAGGGAGGTTAAGCTACCAGCTGTCATTCTGTATTGTGTGCCCAAATCCAGCACAACTACAGGCCTGTGTTCTCATATCAGCATGAACTATCCGAGATAGAGAAGAGGATGCAGGTCTCCCAAACACATCAGCCTCCTTCTTGAATCCTCATAAATATTTTAGAACATTACAACAATTACAGTAGTGTCCTCTAGACTCCCTGTATCTGCTTTGGGTAGAAGCATTTTCCCTCTGGTTAGAGTACACTTGGGTGATTGGAGAGGGGAGTCGGGTGTCCAGAAAAATGTCTCACTTGATTTTTATAGTTATTTATTAAAGATAAATGTATACAAGTGGAGCCAACACATTTTGGGGTAATTCCCCCCCCCCCCTTCTTCAGGGCTGTATTTCTAGGAGAATGGTTAGTCTCTGAGAGGTTAAATATATTCAATCAGCGGCTCTGCAGTATGCCGACATTGTGCCGGCTCCACAACACCAACATACTGCAGTAACACCCCAATTGTCATGATCAATAAGGTATCAGCCCTAGACCCCAATGGAATCTATCACCTATCGCCTTCAACTGGGATATAACCCATTGGCAGCAATTTCTTCTATACCCTTCACACAGTAATCTGCCACTAGGCAGCCTCCAGAGACACTTCTTCCACCCAAATGTGATACTCGGGTTGGTGTGGCACACTCATGGCCTTATACTTCTCACATATTTCATAGGTGAAAAAACTGCATGTACCTCTGCCCTGTGGGCAGATCCCAAATTAGATCCCAATTTAGTTTCGGTACACACCGCAGCCTCAAGATGTTTGTCATGTGTCACTTTACACAGCAATTGCTGCAGCCTCTCATGTCATACAGAACAAGCCCCAGCTGTCATTATGACAGCCGAGAAGCTGTGGTGGGAGACAAGGAGCAGGGCATTGGAATTACGCTCTAGAAAAATTGTTGAAGTTTTTTGGGTTGTATCTCCTATGCCAAATTCCTGAAGTAGTAAATAGACTGTTATGTATAAAGAGCTTTGAATAGAAGACTATTTTTGACTTTATTCTGACCTCCGGAACGGATTAATTGGTTTTCAATTAATAGTATTTGGTGGAAGACTTCTTTCAGAAAACTACAAAACCACATTTCATTCAGAATTATGCTATAATAAAGGAGAATTACATTTATTTTTCAATCATGTCCCTGTACAGTATTTATGCCTTTAAACTGCACTTCATAAAGAGTTTTGAACAGATAAGACTTTTTTTTTTACTTTTTTCAGACCTCTGGAACAGATTAATTGGTTTTCAATGCATTTACAAATTTATTTTTCAATCATGTCCCTGTACAGTATTTATGCCTTTAAAGTGCGCTTTATAAAGAATTTTGAACAGATAAGACTTTTTTTTTACTTTTTTCACACCTCTGGAATGGATTAATTGGTTTTCAATGCATTTAAAAATTTATTTTTCAATCATGTCCCTGTAAAGTATTTATGCCTTTAAAGTGCACTTCATAAAGAGTTTTGAACAGATAAGACTTTTTTTTTTACTTTTTTCAGACCTCCGGTACGGAGTAATTGGTTTTCAATGCATTTACAAATTCTTTTTTTAATCATGTCCTTGTACAGTATTTATGCCTTTAAAGTGCACTTTAGAAAGAGTTTTGAACAGGTAAAATACTTTTTTAAACTTTTTTTATGACCTCCGGAACGGATTAATTGGTTTTCAATGCATTCCTATGCGAAACCGCAGTTCGGTTTAGGAGTTTTTTCGCAGTACGAAACGTCCCGCAGAACGCATTAAATTCGTAAACCGAGGTACGCCTGTATTACCTTCTTGCAACCACAGGCCCAGCACCCCACCATAGTTTTATACTCCCCTATCTACACAGCCCCCAGTGGACCCCACAGCGTGAAACTTGCAGGAGCATGGCTAGGGGAGCATAAATCTTTAGGTTAGAGAAGGGTTCAAAAGAATTAATATACACAATCTAATTTAATTCTCCTTTATTATAGCATAATTCTGAATGAAATGTGGTTTTGTAGTTTTCTGAAAGAAGTCTTCCACCAAATACTATTAATTATGAAGGGAGCAACAATATGTATAACTAGAGAGAGAAATATGCAGAACACATTTCCCTTGTGTTTGGAAAGTGATGGCCACATACATATTTATAACCTTCCTTGGTTCAACATTATGACTCCCAGTATTATGCCATAAATAAATGACAGTGGTCATGTCCCTTGATAGAACTGCACAGATGTGACAATTTTGTCGTGTTTCACCTAATAAAATGTTCCTGGTGTGTCACATAAACATGATTCACGGAGGCCCGAGACAATAGATGCTACAAATAGATGTTGTTTCATTAGAGAGAGCACAATAAAAGTCTCATCACTGCAGAGAACATTCAACTCCTGTCATCTTCACCAACATATTTACATAGTGGGCATCCTCCACTTCTGCAACAATGGATGGCAAACAGCATGTTCATTTATAACTACATCATGGATTTGCTGTGAAGCGGACGCAACTGTAAGTAGTCCCAAAATATTCCTCGTACTTGGGCAATGTTAACACTGATTAGTCACGTGAATGATTGTTTGATGCTTATGTCTTCCCAGCATCGTCTTTCATTTACTGGCACCTTAAAGGGTGATTTTGTAGGCAGGTGCAGTCTGTTTTATCCTCTATAGGTGGCACTCGACCTGAGTGGTACCACAACCTGGAGAGGACGTTCAGGAGAAACACAGTTTCTCTATTGTTTCCTGAATCAATGGAACAGTGTTCCAGTTGGCTATGCTGCAGCCATGGCAGCAGCAATCTTGGGTTGACAAGGTCTTTATAAGTCCCTGATCCCAGGTTTTGGTGCGCTTTTCTCCGAGTGGCTAGTTTAGGGAGTGAGCCCCACTTTCTAGGGAAAGTAACTAGCGGTAGGGAAAGGTTTCAGATAAGGGACAGACTAGTGACTTGCTAAACAGTACAGAAGCCTCCCCTCTTGGGACCAAATGGGCTAGGCCCCTTTTCACCCTCTGAAACAGACGCTGTCGGCACCTCCCCACAGCCACATCTGACTGCATTGAATTGTTATTTCCCTAAGTGGCACTCTCCCGCTAGGGTGTTTGTAACGTTGCCATTCTACTTAATACAAGTTTCAAGTTTTTACTGCAACCGGGTGACTGACACTGGGTGTTCACTACCCACACCACGTTGTACCTTCCCACAAGTTCACCAAAAGGAGAACTTTAGCTTTTAACTTTAACTATAGGTGGACTCTGTTGGGCTGCAAAATAGTTGTTACAGGGACAGAATCCCTGTCAGGACTTCCATAATCTCTATCAGGACTTCTAATTGTGCTTACAGAATCCCTGCCAGCACTTCCAATGGTACTCACAGAATCCCTTCCATAACTTCCAATGGTACCAGCAGACTCCCTTCCAGAACTTCCAATAGTTCTTGCAGAATCCCTGCTAGGATTTCTGACCATAAGAGGTATTTAGGCACCAGCCTTTGAAGTGGCTGGTGGTGTGCCATATTGCCAGATATTCTTCAGGCAAAATAACTACTAATCTTGATTACCTTGCTTAATACCAGGGAGGATACAAACTAACGATTTTTTTTAAAAACATCAAAAAAATCTGATTTTTTTAAAAATTTAAATTGGATTTTTTTTTTAATTTTTTATCAAATTTACTTTATAACATTCTTTTGGAGTAAAAGTCTGTCTAAAGATAGTTTTCTATTTAAGATATATTAATAATTTAGTTTATTCAGCATGAAATGGAGCTTAGTTATGTAGCATGAGGCTGTATATTCTGCAATATTTAAATTTTTGGTAAACCCATTCAATGAATCCAAGCTCTGCAAGCTGAGATGACATGCACTGCGTTGATGCATTCACACAGTTTCACAGTAACCATGAGAAAAAACATGAAATAGAAGAATTTGAGTCGTTCTCCAGCTGTGTGATTAACCTATTAACCTAAAATCGGTTCTGATATCGCTGTTTGGCTTTTTTGTGCATGGGCTTTAGGAGAGGCTTCCTTTGTGGATGACACCCATGCATGCCATTCCTCTATAGTGAACGCCATATTGTATCACACAAAATGATCACCCCAGTTTGGCTTTCTACTTCTTTAGCTAGGTGCAGTGAATTTGCACGGTGATTTTCTTCAACCCTTCTTATAAGAAGACGCTCCTCTAGAGGCGATAACTTCCATGGACGGCCTGGATGTCTCTGTGAGAGGGTTGTAATTCCATCTTTGTAAAATTTTTGTATTACTTTTGCTTAGAGTTGCCACCTCATCCCTTTAAAACTGAAAACATATTAATTACACAGGGTCTATGGCTTATTAATGTGGTAACTAAACTCACCAAGTGCCTTATCTGCATTAAATTAGCCTCAGAACCTGTATAACTAATATATGTTCGGTTTTAAAGGGATGAAGTGGCAACCCTACTTGCTAAAGTATTCTGACTGATGAGTAAAGATTTGCTGATTCATCTTCACCTTTCCTGTGTAAAGAAATTATTTTCTTTCTCAGGCCTTGTGACAGTTCTCTTCCATGTGGTGCCATTGCTGACAGCATGAAATGGGAGGGGTTTTCTTTGTTAAGTAACACCCTTTTATAATCAACTGTCTTCTGGACTCCTGTTTAATGAATAATTAGACTCGCCTGTAGTTGAATTCTTGTTAATTAGTATTTTGCTAAAATTGAGCTTTGTGCCTAAGACGTTCATTGGGGTGTATTCATTTTTGCAACATAGCCTTGAATAAAGTTGTTAGAAAAAATTATTTTTTGTGTGCACATTAACAAATCTTGTTTGTAATCAATGGCCGGCCTTTTTTGGGAGTATTTTGTAGTATAGTGTCCCATAGAAAATGTTGGTTCTGAAAGGAAAGTAAGGTTTTCTGTAATATCTGTTGGGGTACAGGGGCGGGCTGACAATTTGGAAACTCGGGCACTGCCCGAGGGCCTGGGGTCAGTAGGGGGCCCCATGAGATGCCCCTGGTACCTTTTTCATAGGCTTTTTTGAGTTTGGGCAAGGACACAGGGGCCCCATGATCCCCCCCTATTGCCCGGGGGCCCCATGAGTTGTCAGTCCGCCCCTGTTGGGGTGTACTCATTTATGCTGACCACTGTATAAACGAATCATGGGCAGACTTGATGGACCCCTTGGCCTTTTTTCTGCCATGATAATATATATATATATATATATATATATATATATATTTATATGTTTTGTTTTTAATTTTAGGTCTTTTAAACCTTATGAATTATAAAATGTGCTATTTTGAAGGGTTGTTACATTTTTTTTTTTTGGCTTAACATTTGTTTTTTCCAATTCTGTTCTTTGCCTTTCAGCATGGATTCATGGGGACCCCAGGAAAGTTATATATCCCACCGACAGCTACGGGCAGTTCTGTGGACAGAAGGATACGCCGAATGAGTAAGTATCTATTTTTGTATGATGTCCTAAAAAAGATCAGATAATTATTACTTGCTGTTTGTCTTTCAGGCAGCTAATAATTTATACAACACTTACGCCTGCAAGGGCCATGCGATTGCTGTGACCGCTGTCTCTGGAGCCCTCTTGTGGAAGCAATTAGTAGTCTTGCTCAGTACAGCAAAGAATTGGAGTGATGATGTGCATATGCCTTCAAAAACTTTACAAGCCTTCACAAATTATTATTATTATACAGGATTTATATGGCGCCAACAGTTTGCTCAGCACTTTACAATATAAACAGAGACAATAACAGCAACGATAAAGTTTAATACAAGAGGGTTAGGAGCAGGGGCGGACTGACAACTCATGGGGCCCCTGGGCAATAGGGGATCATGGGGCCCCTGTGTCCTTGCCCAAAGTCAAAAAAGCCTATGAAAAAGGTACCAGGGGCATCTCATGGGGCCCCCTACTGACCCCGGGCCCTCGGGCAGTGCCCGAGTTTCCAAATGGTCAGTCCGCCCCTGGTTAGGAGGGCCGTGCTCCTTGGAGCTTACAATCTAAGAGTTAAACATGTCACAATAAAAAAATAACTATATAGTGACGTAAACCCCATCACAGATGTGGGTAATTGGAACTGATGAAAAAGCATCAGCAGATGTTGCTTCAGTGAAAAACAGTCATAGCGGTTGAGTTACTAAAGAAAAATAGGCTGTTCAGTTTGCAAGAGAAGTTGCCCTGTGCAAAGGGAATTTCCCCCAGAGATTATTGAAGGTGTTGAAATTTCACTTTGTAAAGAATACCCAATCTCATGCATGGAGTTAAAAAAAAAACAGTAATTTTGCTTGCACGTGATTGGATGATGGAAGTCATCAAAGCTTCATCTCATTCACTAAAGTCTGACGAGACGTCTCTGGCCGAAGGAACAGTCTATTTGTGTTTAGTAAATCAACCCCATAAAGTCTAATTTGACCACCTTTCTTCCCACCTTCTGGTCCATGAAGCAGATCTTACCCCTCTGAAACATCTCCCCTGTCTATCCCTTCTCCAGTCCTGTGCATGGATAGCTCTCTTTTTTTGTTTTCTTTATTTACTCATATTTTTTAATAAACTGTCTGGCTCCGACCCCCCCCAGCACGTCATTCGCCTAGGCAAATGCCGCTCACTGTCCTCCCTTTGACTCCTAGGATATGCATACCATTAAGTAAAGGAGGAGAGGACCGGCTTATGCAGACCATACATGGGTTGAATTCTGAACAAATTTTCTTTAGAAAATCTGAAATTTTGTGCGTTTTGTAATCCGATGGTTTCACCATTGATTTTCGAAATTCGACAAACCAAGCCTTTCTTCAAGTTCACATGTAGCTACAGAAAAGACTTTTCATGGCCAAGAATTTTCGTTTCATTCCAGGTCACAGCTCATGCTTTTTTCTTTTTTTGGTTATATTTCTCGCACTATTCTCCCATCAATGAGTAGAAATTTGTTAGTTTTTAAAAAAATTTCCGATCACTCAAATTCGATGGTCGCTCGAAAATCGACCGTTGCTATGGCCCACTAATGGTATGAAATTCAAACGAAAATTCTTCTCGAAATTTGACCCCTGTATGGCCGAATTTTGCAGGGTGTCATCTGGAGGCGTGCTGGCTGAACCCAAAACAGCTGGCAGCCTCTCGATGACATCACAGCAAAACATAGTGGTGCAGGACCAAGCGCTGCCAGAAAAGGAGAGAATCTCAGCTGGACCATGCTGGATCCACTGGGTGGGTGAGCATCTGAAATGTGCAGAACTCACTACCAGGTAAGTAGGGGCTTAAAAAAATGGGGGGGGGGGGGGTCCAAATCCACTTTAATGAGATTACATTTGTATACCTTATTCTGAAGCTGTGGTTGCCGCAGAAGGAGGGTTCTTTTTGATTCTGGATATAGACACTTTCTATGTGGCTGAGATTTCTTTTTAGTAGAAGGTGATGTGGGAGACTAAAAACAACACGTCTGCATTCTGTATGTGATACAATGGAAAATAATTCTCCAAATGTAAAAATCTCATTACATAAAGACCAAGTGCCAGTTCAAACCATGCCCGCTTCTGAATCACAGCGCGTTCCTATGCGATTCACATGCGGTTCTGTGCAGTGCGGTTTCAGCCCATTCATTTTGAATGGGCTGAAATCGCACCGCACCAAAACTAGTACATGCACTACTTTTTAAAATGAACTGCACAACCGGTTTACCCGGTGTGGGCAGGTGTGGGCAAATGCAATGTGTTTGCAACCCACATTTGGGGTATCGTTAACTTTTTTTTTTTACACCTGCTGGCGATTGCAAATGTAGTGCGTTTTGCGTGTGGTTTGAATCACAGAGGAGCGCACAGCGCAGCACGTTTCTGTATGATTCAGATGTGTTCATGATGTGAACCGGCCCTAATACAGTAATAACTTGCCATATGTGCTCATTAAAAATACTATAGTAACCAAAATGGACCTTTTAGTAACTTTACAGATCCTCATGAATACATTCCTGACATATCACAATATACAATAGAATATTCTTTTGAGAAAATATCTGTATCGCTTTTTTTCATTAAAAACTAGTTCTGAAGCTCCAGTTCAGTGATTTTTCCTTTGCTGAGATGATCAGTAATTAGGCTGAACATTTTATCATTGTAACAAGTTACAAAGTAAGAGGCTGAACTGTGTCAAGCACAGTTGATCTGTTTATGAACACAGCCAAGAATTTGCAGAGAGACCAGGATTTACATAATTGTCATCTATGAGCCGGCATCACGTTCACAAAATAGATGGTGACGCTGGATGATGCCCGAACAAAGATGGCGTCGACATTCTGAAGAGCAATGCATATGAAGACATTGTCAGGGAGAGTACTGTGATCTTTGAGAAGGGCAATAAATAACTGGAATTGTTACATATTTATGAGAATCTATACAGCTAACATGAAATAATATACCTGATTTAGGAGGAGATTTACTAAAATTGGTACACACAGAATCTGGTGCAGGTGTGCATGGCAATCAATCAGCTTCTAACTTCAGCTTGTTCAATTAAGCATTGACAATAAAACCTGCAAGCTGATTGGTTATTATGCACAGCTGCACCAGATCCTGTGAGCACCCGTTTTAGTAAATCTCCCACCATGGGGATGATTTACTAAAACTGGAGATTGCAAAATCTGGTGCAAGTGTGCATAGGAGCCAATCAGCTTCTAAACTTCAGCTTGTCCAAATAAGCTTTGACAATAAGTCCTCATGCACACGGGACGTTTTTACAGCAGCTGATTTTGACTTTTGACTTTTTTTTGTACAGCATGTTCTCCTATGTGTCCATGCACACATAGACTGTAATCAATGTTTTTGGCTGGAAAAAACCCAGTGGGTTTTTAGAGGAGCTTTTTAGCTGTAAAACCGCTCTAACACAGCAAAATGTGGTAAAACATTTCTTTAGTAAAAAAAAAAACGCAAAAAAACACAGAAAAAAAGCGTCAAACTACGGCAAGACCCCGCTAAATGCTAATGCAAACCACTAAAAAAAAAACGCTGGAAAACTCACCTTTTTAACATGACTTTACACAACTAGCATTACCAGCATTAATAAATTGCCCCGTGTGCATGAAGCCTAAAACCTGGAAGCTGATTGGTCTGTATGCACAGCTGCGCCAGATTTTGCACTCTCCAGTTTTAGTAAATCAGCCCTTATATATGTTCTATATATGTTCATTATTATAATAATTACAGTTTTAATGTTGTAAGTCTTTAATGTAGTTTCAAAGAGAATACTTGTGTTATGGAATAAACAAATGATTGATTTATCGTGTGTTTATGATTTATTTTAGGAACAAGACACTCTTAATGTATTTTAATATCCTGCAATGTGCAAGTCCGCTGGTGCTTATCAATTTGCAGTGCCCTACCATTCAGGTATGATGAATTCATCAGTGCACACATAAGCAGTTAAAGCAGAATTCCAGCCAAAAATAACAGGAGAAATATGAATAGCCCAAAATAAAAACATATATATATATATAAACTTTTTAGAAAAAAAAAAAAGCTTTTGCTGCAATATTTATATATTTTCCCCTGTACTACTTTTTCCTACTGCCAGCAGAACAAGTGTCCCTGCTGGAAGATTTCCCCTCACTTCCTGTTCCAGTGACAACTGTAAAATGTGGGATTTCTCATCACTATTGATCCAGGTGATAGATAAGAGAGCTTGAACCTTCCCAGTGGGCACACAGACAGCAATAATAACCTGACAGGGGTTTTAAAGCCTAAGTTTACCTAAAAAAAAATTAAAATAAATAAGCACAAGGGATATTACTTACCCTCAGTGATATGTGTCCCTTGTCCTTCTGGTTCATTAGTAATCTTTCACCGTGCCCCCCCCCCCAGCTGCCACCCGCAGTGATATGTGTCCATTGTTCTTCTGGTTCATTAGTAATCTTGCTCCGTGCCCTCCCCCCCAACTGCCACCCGCAGTGCCATAATCGGTGAGGCGGGGGTTATCAGAACTGTGAATGTTTACATTCATTGGTGAGATCGAACCGACCATTCTCACATGTGTCAGCCATACTTTAAAACGAACCCTGGAAGACCTATTTTCTTGAAAGACTGCACCCTCCAAGTAAAACATAACAAAATAAAGAAAGCATCAGAAGAAAACCTAGAAACTGGCTTGGGTGAAGACAGTGCTGGACCCTGGGCAGGTAAATGTCTGTTTATTAAAAAAGTTAGCAGCTACATTTTTTGTAGCTGATGACTTTTGATTTTCACATACCCGACTGAAGCTCCTCTTTATACAATGGCTGTGTAAATCGTAATGTTTTATACTCATGTGTCATGCGTGATTGGCTGCTGACTCCATTGTCTTTGTCTGCAGTTGTGCGTTTCCAAGTGTCCGGATAGATTTGCTACCTACCTAGACATGCAAGCCAACTGGTACAATAGCAGCTACTGGGAATACTACCGGCAGTTCTGTAAGCCTGGCTTCAACAACCCCAGAAAGGTGAGTGGAGATGGAGAAATTATTACATAAAATAAATGTTTGGAAAAGGCTTATGCACACGGCCATACTTAAAATACTCATATCTACACTGGATTTTGCCACTAGAAGAGGGTTTCTCCACCAGGGTTCCATGAAATTCTAGGATTCCTCCTGAGGTTGCTAGGGGTTCCTTGAGCAATGAGAAATTTCTGCCTCTCGGATAAGTTCTCACTGACACCAGTGATCTTTTTAGCTATCTGTACGGGTGTATTTCTTCCCAATGTGGAACTCTTATGATTGATATCCACCAAAAAAGCTGGCTCTACATATATTTGGAAAAGGAGGAACTCATAATACCTATTCCTGGCCTCCTAATGACCGTCCCAGTACAAGAGCTCTTCAGCTTGCAGTTGGCTGTACTACACAACAAAAGGATGCAGTATTACTTCGAGTAGACAGTGCTACTGGTCTGGGAGACTACTTACAGCTTCACATAGTGCTATCCCTTGTATGCTGAAATCGGTGATTGATGTCTGTCTAAGGGCAGATTGTTGCTTTTCTGGAAGAACTCATTTAAAGGCATAGCAGGTCATTTCATGGTCTGGATTTCTTTTATCTCTTTGGAAGTCCGAAGAGGTTTCCAGTTGGAGACAAGAAAGTGAAAGTGGAGACCAGGGGCGCACTGACCATTTGGAAACTCGGGCACTGCCCGAGGGCTCGGGGTCAGTAGGGGGCCCCATGAGTTTGGGCAAGGACACAGGGTTTGGGCAAGGACACAGGGGCCCCATGATCCCCTATTGCCCCGGGGCCCCATGAGTTGTCAGTCTGCCCCTGGTGGAGACCTGGGTGTAATACCCAATAAAGCACTTTTGACCATTTTATAAATTGGGGGTCAAGGCAGTTTGGTGAGGAGTTTGGCTCTCTCACTCTGGTGGTGTGCAATGGTTTCTGACACTGAATACGGTGCTGGGATCTCCTCCTTGGACTTTCTATATCAATTATTAGTGCATTATTATTCCATAGATTTAATGTATATGGACTTTTTTTTTATCAAAAAATGTTTTGTAGCGCTGCAGTTTATTATATAGTATAGTAGTAGTATTGATTTGTAATCTTCAAATCTTTGTGGCTGCTTTTTTATTCGTTTTTTAGTCTGAACGTAGATGTTACATCTCTTTTATGATTTTTAATACAATTCTCACCAATCATGAGCTGTAGATATAGTCATTTTTAGCAGGGGGGGAGGGGGGGGGCAGAAACATATTTCAAGGATTCCTCTGTGTTCAAAAGATTGAGAAAGTCTGGACTAGCGGAAGCATCTAGCATAAAAAAAGCATGTAATGGCGTGCAAACTATTAGCATTTATGTGATGTTAGATGTGTATATGCCCATACAGCGTCTATAATTCTTCATCCACTTCTCTTCATCTACTAGAATACATTACACGCACATGCAGGGTTATGTGTAAATATGCATTTGGAGTATAAGCATGAAATACGGCAAAATACTCATGTTGAACGCAGGATTTGGGCCTCTTTTTTCACATTGCAGGATGCTGATCTAAATCATGGAGCTAAATGCCCCTATGTACATAAACAAGAACAGAGCAGCATTTAGTTCAATAAAAAAAAAAGCAAAAAAAATTGTGTAAATCTGAAATCTGCATTTTTTTTTTTTTTTTTGCCACCCTGGTGCAAGAGCCCTTAGATCGAGGAGACTAAAACTGATAATGCAGGGAATATCAACTTCTTCAATCTGATTGGTGTTTTTGACCAAAACCTAGGGGGTAAAGGGAGGGTTCTACTGCCAGGGCCCATGAGGACAGGAAGCTCTCGGACCTTTACTATTACCGTCTTGCTATCTATTGTGAACTTTTTTTGTACAGAAAATATTAAAATTATTAAACAAAACATTTAGTAATTTGTTTTAATAAACTAAAAGAGTCAAGAGAAAGCACAGACAGCCCACTGGTATAGTATGGTACTGTGGACCGCCTGGCGCTCTGCCTGGGTGCTTCCATCAGAGAACTGCTTCTTCACCGCTGGGACACAGGACCAAGGTATTATAGCCGGGAATTGCACCTAAGAACTAGACGACACTAGCTTAGGTGCAACTGGAACTTTATCGAAAATTCACCCAGAATTTATACCACACAAAATTAATTGATCACATGATCCTACACAGTGGAACATTTAAACAGTAATATCATCAGTAGATCTAATAAACAGCTAACATCTAACAGTGATCTAATGAAACAGTAATCTAATTAACAGCTAGCAGCTAACTGTGATCTAATTAACAGTAAGCTAATCAACAGCCAAGAGCCCACCCCAGACAGCCTGGCAAGAAGCCCGTACCCCTCAATACACAAAGTACATTACACATGCTGACTGTCAGGTGTTTGCCTTTCACTTGTATAATCTGTCCACTAGAAAAGTCATCATAAAACTAATACAATGTTCCAGCAGTCTGAAAAAGTGGAATTCATTTACTTTCATAGATTTCTCGAAGTAGATTGTTGATAAATATTTTCGTGGAGGAGCTTCTCCAACCCAGTCTGCAAGAGGACCACCATATCTCCTCTGACCATGAACCTGTACCAGATTAATATTATACCTTTCCATTCACTCCAGAAGGAAAGCTTTATTGTCTTTATTCAGAGAATTAATCCAAGCCTCGCTCTCGGTGTTCATCACAATGTTGTCCATCATTAGAGAATGATCTGCTTTTTCCATGGGATCAGAGACTGAACTGAGCTCTTTTCCATTCTCTGACTGGGAGAAGCAGACAAAATCCCCGGTCTCCTCCATGGGCTATATTCAGTAGGTAGAAGGCTGGTCCCTAGTCCCCTGCAAATGCCTCTGTCCCGGTTGAGTCTGTCATAAGTGCTATTCAATATGTACACCATGTATTGTGGTCAAACTAGTAATGCACTCAAGGGAGTAACAACAAATCATGGGGCCCCATAGCAAAATTTAGATGGTGCCCCTGGCGTCCCCTGTCTATGGCATCTGGCAGTGTCCACTATGGTATTACTGTCAGAGGTCTTAACATAAAATATGTCTAAATCAAGGGGAGGCAGCAAGAGAGCTGTCAACATATTACTAGGGAGCAACATTATTGATGGGAGTTGTCAGGGAGGAGCAACAGTGCATGGAATTAACTTTCAACCTTAGTGGTAGAAATATTAACCATCAGCATATTTCATTTGATTACATAATTGTTAATGCTCCTGCACAAAATTACTCTTTATAACCTAATACAAACTTCTTTAAAGCCCAACTCCAGACAGCTAAAAAAAATGATCCCTTGCACTGGGTTTGTGCTTTCACTGCAAGTGTTAGTAGCTTGTTTTGTTTAGGGTTGAGGAGAATCGGTTTTCTTACCTGATCCTCCACTCCCCCGGCTGAAGGTGCTCCCTCAAGCTCTGGCAGTGGACTGTCCATCTGCATCCTCATATCCAGAGCAGGGCTATGGACCCTGCTCTGATCTTGATGATGTCAGGACCTTAGACCGCTAGAGCATGGGGATGCAGAAACTGCGAGGACCCGTAGAAATCCTCCAATTGGGACACCTCTTCCTGTGACAGCTAAGGCAGTGAAATGCACTACCCAATGTCTAAACTCCCAAAGAAGTAAAATGAGTTAGAGAGTGTGTGTACCAGATGGAGTTGTCTGTGTATTGGACACATCAATAAACTAGCTCTGAGGCTTTTAATATGGTGAGCATGTAGGCAGATGCAGTCTGTTTTCTCTCCACCAACTGAAGTGGCATTGCATTTGGAGAGGAAGTACAGAGAAACATGGCTCCTCTATGGTTTCCTGGGTCACTGGGGAAGGTATCTAGTTTGATGCTGCCACCCCATGTGACTCTGACAGCCATCTTGGGCCTATTTAAGGCTCTGGCTCCCAAGCTTGGAGTACATTCTGCGTGGGGGTAGTGTAGGGACAGATCACCCATTTGACAGCAATAGCAGTAGGGAGAGGTTGCTGATGCCTAGGGAAAGAGCAGGGACGCACTATCCTTACTGGAAGCCCCCCCCCCACTCCGTTTGGACGCAGACTGACCAGGCTGCATTCTATCTCTCAAGAACAGGGTAGGCAACCTGAGAGCCGCAGGACTACAAGTTCCATCATGCCTCTGCAAGTCATAGCTGTAACTGTCACTTTTGTAATCTTTGCAATGCCTCATGGGAAATGTAGTTCCACAACAGCTAGAGAGCTACAGGTTGCCTACCCCTGCTCAAGACAGACGCTGTCGGAGGATCCAAGACCTGCTGCTCTTCTGTTCTCTGCAACATTCCGTGAGTGCACATGGTCAGGTTGCCTTTCTCCATTTAGTTGTGTTGTTTGTAACTATAATACAGTTCTGTTATTGCCACTGCACCACGCTGCACCTCCCTACAAGAAGTTCCCCTCTTTTTTTTTTTTTTTTTTTTTTTAATTCTGTAGAAGTAGTATCTCCCCCCGCTTTGCCTTTTTGAAGACATTTCTTCTTCATTGCTGTGGATATTTCCCTTCACTTCCTTTGTCTACAGGAAGTGAAGGGAAATGTCCCCAATGAAAGACAGGGCAAAATAAAACCCGAAAAAGGTTTTGACCCTTCCCTACTAGATTCAAAATGAAAAATGGCACTTGAAAATTTAAAAATGCACCATGCTGACCATTTTGTTCACTTATAAAGATGCATAATATATAATAAATTTGAATACACAACAAGAATGGCATCATCCACAGAGAAAACTATGATTGGCATTATCTGGTTTTTGTATAAAAGTATAAAACTGTAGAAGCTTTACCTGATCTGTGATTATCTCAGTCTATTGCAGAAGTTTTACGAGATGAAGACTGCCCATCTATGATCGTTCCAAGTAGGCCGTGTAAGTTCTTGTTGATACCACATGTGTTTTAAATAGGAGCATTTTAAATATAGAAATACTTATGGAAGTACTGTTTAAACTGGGCTACATTTCTACCTGGATAAGGCTACACAAGTTAAAGCGTCACTCTGTCTAAAACACAAAGGGTTAGAACCCCTGTCAAGCTTTTGTTACATGAATGTGTAAATCAGAGGTACTGAATTCTACTTCCCAGTAGGTCATGGTTAAAGAAAGTAATTTGCATTCATATGGGGTGCCATAGCTGTGGTAAGGCCGCTCTCAACAAAACGGGGTGCCCTACAGGACCTGAAGTTAAGGATCCAAATGTAAAAAGTTTATTGGGAGAGCCAGATCAATTATCTAAGAGTCTGAAATCTTTTACATTGGTGTTTGATCATACCAAGACATCACAGATGTTCTCTTCTTACAAGGAAACATTGATATAAAAAGATTTTGGACTGTTTGGTCTGGCATTCCCATTAGGATTTTTACAGGTTTTATTCAATCTCTGAAAATTTGAAAACACCCTTTTTTAACTCAAACTTTCCCACTTCACATACTGTTCCTTGACAATCAATATCAGCCTTGACACATTACATGGCACAATTGTGATTAAGGCAACTAAGTTATGGATGGAATATGTTCCTAAAACATATCGGAACTGATGATAGCTACTTATATGAATGGTGAAACATATTTAAAGTGTAGTCCAAGCATTACCCACATTTACCCTCAACCCTCCCTCTCTCCCTTGAGAGTATGTACAAGCGTGTTGTACCTTATATTTTTCTTTTCCTTTGTTCCTGTACCAAGAAACAGTTTTAATTACTCCCTGTGATATTTCACAGGGCCAGGTGTAGCCTTTGATCTTGGGGTGCAGTAAAAAAAGTGAGGGGGCATAATGACAACACTGTATGTGTGAGTCACTGACAGTCTATCATAGAGTGTCACGACCTGGGAAATACTAGTATTTATTAGGCTGTCACTGGATTAACGTGATAAACAGAGCCTTTGCCCCTTTATATCAGATGTACTTATCAGCATCCCCCTCTACATCAGGAGTCCTCCTCAGAGTACCCCTTTATTTAAGATGCCCTTCAGAGTAACCCCTTACATCAGGGTCCCCATCAGTGTGCCCCATACATCAGGGTCCACATTGGAGTATCCCCTTACATCAGATGTCCCAACCAGAGTACCCCCTTACTTCAGATCTCCCAATCAGAGTGCCCTCTTACGTCAGTGTCCCCATTAGAGCACCCCCTTACATCAGTGTTCCCATCAGAACTCCCCCTTACATCAGTGTCCCCATCAGAGCACTCCCTTACATAAGTGTCCCCATAAAGAGTACCCCCTTACATCAGTGTCCCCATCAGAGCACCTCCTTACATCAGGTCCCCAATCAGTGTACCCCCTTACATCAGTGTCCCCATCAGAGCACCCCCTTACATCAGGTCTCCAATCAGTGTACCCCTTACATCAGTGTACCCATCAGAGTTCCCACTTACATCAATTGTCCCCATCAGAGTGCTCCCTTGCATCAGTGTTCCCATCAGAACACCCCCTTACATCAGGGTCTCCATCAGAGCACCCCCTTACATCAGATCTCCAGTCAGAGTGCCCCCTTACAACAGTGTCCCCATCAGAGTTCCCACTTACATCAATTGTCCCCATCAGAGTGCCCTGTTACATCAGTGTTCCCATCAGAACACCCCCATACTTCAGTGTCCCCATCACAGTGCCCGTTTGCATTTGATCAGTTATCCCCATCAGAGTGCCCGTTTACATTTGATCAGTTGTCCCCATCAGAGTGCCCCTGTACCTCAAGTATCCCTTTACATCAGGTGTCCCCATCACAGTGCCCCCTTACATGGATTGTCCCCATCAGTGAGCCTCCTTACATTAACTGACTTCATCAGACTAACTCGTGGATCAGGGCACAGCCCACCCCAGCTCCCCCCTGGATCTGGCCCTGCGTCTTCACCAGGTTTATAAAGTTCTTACAGGGGCAGCTGCTGGAAGCTACTGACCTAGCCATGTCCCCAGAACTGCTCTCCCAAGATTTTTTCTCCCTACACACAGTATATGGGTAGGCTCTTGAAGTTCATTTCCTAAACCTGTAGAGTGGAAAACCTAGTGCAGCTCTCCATAGAAACCAATCAGCTTCTAGGTTTTTATTGTCAAAGCCTAATTGAACAAGCTGATTGGAAACCATGTACAGCGGCACCAGATTTTGCACTCTCCAGTTTTAGTAAATCAACCCCACTGTTTTTCTGGGAAAGAGTTCAATGTAAGCATGTGGAGAAGGGCATAAGGGGGCAGGGGATAGGTGAAGTTCTGCAGTCCAGCAAGCAGGACTGACCATCCTTGCTGGGACTTCAGTGCAGCAAGGGCACCATGTTCTCAGCCTAAACATGATGTTAGGGGCCCACTGGATTTCTGACAGACCAATGTTTTTTTCTATACGTGCACTGTTTTTTTTTTTCATTTATTTTGCCCAAACAACAAAATTGGTTAGGAAACCAATAATGTGTGGTACTAAAAACTAAACGCTAAACATAAACACTATTAAGTGTTATATTCATAATCCAAAAAAATACAAAAAATGACCTTTTTAGCATACAGCTAACCAAAAGTGTGTGAAAATCATTAACACAGATGTATAAAACAATATCAAAATCACACAAAATCAACAGCTTGTGACTTAACCAGAGCCACAACAAAATATTTTAGCACACAGTGTACAGTATAAAAAAAACCAAAAATTGATGTAAAGTGTGTTCCCACAAATTACAAATACAGTGCAAACGTGAAAAATATGTTCTGTATTCCCTGGCTCCCATCGTTACGCGTACCATCCCTCCTTGTGCACCCGGCTATCAGAGCCATGCTTAGCGTGATTTCATCCACTTTTTCCCTTCTGGATATCTCAGCACACCCTTACCCCCGATCCCCCTACTGAAGGACCTGGAGTTCATGTCTGGTAACACTAACAAACATTCTGGCTGCCTCTTAGATGTAGACATATTTTGTTTTCTACACTTTGGGGTTTATTTACTAAGACTGGAGAGTGCAAAATCAGGTTCACTTGTGCATAGAAACAAATCCGCTTCCAGGTTTTATTGCCAAAGCTTAATTAAACACGTTGAGAATAGAAGCTGATTGGTTTCTATGCAGAAGTGAACCTGATTTTGCACTCTCCAGCTTTAGTAAATAAACCCCTTTTTGTCATCTTCTAGATGCCCTTTGCTGTTAGACATTCAACATTTTTTGGACCCACCTATTGAAATTTGGTCGGCATACCAGATCCACCACTTTTTTAAATCTACTATTGCTAAACAAAGGTAGCCTGCATAACCCCACCCTAATTGAAAACTTTTTATGGATTTGTCTTATGTACCCAACCTCCTATCTCAGCTGTATAAATTACAGGTGACCTCTCCTACAGGATTCATCCTTTCTTGCATATGTAAGTGGGAGGAGGATCCACAGTGGACTTTCTCCCCAGCCCAAGTCGAATGGGCTTTACTGTTTGCACATGTCTTCTATTGCTAACATATTTCAAGAGCAGGGCTACATGATCTTATGTCGATGTATAGGGTTCCAACCATGCTACATAAAATCTTTCTGCACACATCCAATATGTTCTGGCGATGTGGCCGGGAAGAGGGCTCCTCTCTGCATAGCTTTTAGAACTGCCTAAAAATCCATCCATTCTGGGAAAAAGTATGACAGCTGGTATTTAAGCTTACGTCAGTGGAACTGGACAGTCACCCTATGGGCTTTTTTTTCTTCACCTAACCTTCAGCTTACCTGATATAAAACCTTGCTTACGGAATAGCTCCTAAACACAGCCTGGTCTTATATTCTGGCCCTTTGGAAAACAACCAATAACCCCTCCAATCTCTTTGTGGCTGGCTAAAATCAACGACATTGAGCAACAGCTTCCCTCTACCATAGGAAAGAGAAATTTCATATTGTGGTAATCATGGTCAATCTTCATCTGCCACATACCAGGAATTAAAGGATAAGTTCACCTTTATACAAAAAAATAAAAAATGCTAATTTTTTTTGCAGATTTAAAAATGTACATTTATTATTTTTTGTTTTTGGAGCCTGTAAACCATTTGATCAGCAGATCGCTGGTGCCATGCAGGTCTCCTGCTGTCCTGTCAGTATATCTGCTTGCCCGTACGGGATGTACAAGCAAGCAGATATACTGACAGGAAGACTCGATGAACTACCACGGGACTCCACAGCACTGTGGTAGTTCATTGAGAACTACAAGCTGACAGCCACTAAGGCTGTTGGGACTTGTAGTTTCTCATTCATAGAACAAGAATGAGTGACACGGCTATGACCATGTTTTTCAAAAATGTGACAGCTAGCGAGGGGGGAAAAGATCCCCCGATTGCTGTCAAAGCTCAAGTTGCTATGAGTAAAGTTCTGCTTTAATATCAGAGGTCTTTGACCTCCTGACTGTTCTGTAACAGAGTACAAAGTTGATTGCTCTTTATTTCCCTGCTTTGATACTGAAAATGTGAATGTTAATCCATGCCTTTGTTAAAGATTAAAAAAAAAACAAAACAAAAAAAACATTTCATATAGTCTACACATAAAACCAAGAAATTGTGCAAGTGACCCCAAAAGGCTTGCAAACCATCTGTCCGTCAATGCTTATAAGGTGAATCTTGTGAGCAAAAAACTGTAACACATCACCGCTGTGCACATAGGCAGCTTACCAGAAGGACACAACCCTCATACATAGGACCTGATTTACTAAAACTAGAGAGTGCAAAACCTGGTGCAGCTCTGCATGGTAGCCAATCAGCTTCTAACTTCATCCAGATTAATTGTGCTTTGACAAAAAAACCTGGAAGCTGATTGGTTTGTATTCTGACCTGCACCAGATTTAGCACTCTCCGGTTTTTGTAAATCAACCCCGTAAGTGGTCATATCAGGCTGTAGTGACATAGGCTCATTCCTTAATGAGACATGGTTCAAAGCGCCTCCACACTCCTCACATCCCTGGAGGGCAATACACTCTACAGAGTGCTACAGACCTCCCCGCTCCACATTGGATCATAAATGCATGTGAAGAGAACAAAGCAAGGGAAGATCTCCCAATAGTGTAAAACTAAAGAGGATCTTTATTAAAAAAATGCTCTTACAAAATATCAAAACTGCAGTGCTGCTACATAGATGAAAACCACATGTATTTCAAAATCCAAGATGTGCATCCTAGCTCCTCCGATGCATTTCGTCACACATGATGAAACACAATACTTTACAGAAGAAGGACAGTTAAATGGGACTGACTACTATTAGCCATAACATGACCTGGATAAATGAGAATCTTCAAAGACACAAGACGGCTTCCATTACTGAAAATCTAAAAAATGTAGATGCCTGGTTATCATATTGTTCCTCTGGTTTTCAATAATTCATAAGTCACTGACCTGGAACATGCTAACAGATCAGGGGTTTTGACTCCACTGGCTGTGTACTTGGAATTGACTTAAGTTAGAGAAACGGCGTGTCAGCCAGACAAGTATTTTTTTTCAGATGATGGTCAGCATTGGCACTTGGGAACCCATAAATATATCTGTTGACAGGTTCCCTCTATGTAAAAATGCAGAAAGTGTACCATTAAATTGGGGCAGATGTATACAAACTTTCTGTGGTCAGCTTTTCGGTTATAGCAAACGTGAAGATCACAGACATAACAAAAGGGCCCCACATTCCTTGAATAATGGGATGTATCTAGATTAATACAGAATAGGTGTCTTGCCATGTCTGCATATTGCCTGTTGTTTGGCCTCTTCACAGCCATTTCAGAGGTTTACCATTTTAGAATGTTCTGACCTTGTCTCTTCTTCTTACAGTCCTGCAGAGGTGCTTCCCTGACTTCTCCACCAGGAACGGCATCCTAACTGTTGCAAACAAGACAGAATTTAAGGACGGAGAGGGGAAAATGAGAAACGTTACAGTTCTAAGAGAAGCAGCCAAGTAAGATATATTATTATCATGCAGTGAATTGTAGGACTTTAGGAATCAACGGTCAGTCCATCCATCAATGAACAGTCATATTTCACCAATGTGCTAAATGATCAATAAATACAATATTCAAAAATGTGCCAAACTGACAATAAGAATGTCAATATTAAAAAAATGTGCAAATTGTGCAAAAATTATTCAATGTGCAATATGTGCAAAGAATAATAAAAAAAAATATAATAAATAATATATAAAATTGTGCAATTTGTGCTAAGGATGAAATTTATATAAAAAAAGCCCACTATGTGATGCAAATCTTGCTGTGCAGAAAAATGTTTGCGCTCACCTCACTTATAGCCAAACTGCTAAGTAAGGCTAAAAACGCTTTTTGTCCTTAATTGGACCAGATGGTGTTTTTCATGCTGAAAAATGGTGTATCAGGATGATGATGGATGGACCGTAATGACACCCTTCTCCAACTGGGGGTCTCCTGGACTCACTCTTGGCCTCACTGAGCCTCAGTGGATAGATAGGGTTTTCTCCCCTCGTCCTGCAGGGGTCTGTATACTGCCTCCACCTCTTTCCTGGTTCCTCATTTCCACTTTTTGATGCACATGGTATTTACTCCTCCCCCCCCCCTTTTTTGGCATGGTTTGTACTGCCCTTTATAGGGCATCATTTGCATTCCTCAAGATAGCGAGGTATTTTTGACTGAATATGGTGATGTATGGGGCTTGTCCATTAGAGGCTGACATTAAGGCCCATGGATGAGTGTACCCGTAATTACATATCTTTAGCAAGACAGATTATACTATCCAATTAGTTCTGTCCATGGGTTAACTTTATCTCCTTAATAGAGATTATATATTCCATGTGATAGGTTTATGATCAAACTACAGTGTCTTCTTTATGCCGTAACTTCATCTAAAACAGTATGGTATTTGATCTGGTCTGTTGTTATTAACCATTTGGATGTAAGGTAAAAAATTGTAATGGCATCCAGTCATACTGTTGTGCACAGTACGTTCCAATAGGCATCAATTGCAGCTTAGTATATATGTTATATATTTATTTCAGCTACTTATATAGCGCCATCAATTTGCACAGCGCTTTACATGTATATTGTACAGTCACATCAATCCCTAACCCTCAAGGGGTGTACAATCTAAGGTCCCTAACTCACATTCATACATACACATACTAGGGCCAATTTAGACAGGATCCAATGAACTAGCATGTCTTTGAAGTGTGGGAGGAAACTGGAGTATCCAGAGGACACCCACACAGGCACAGGGAGAACATGCAAACTCAAGGCAGGTGGAGCCGGGATTTGAACCAGCGACCCCAGTACTGCCAGGCAGAAGTGCTAACCATTTAGCCACTGTGCTATCTATATTTGAGTAAAGGTTATATTTTAGATTCATCAATTAGCCAGATGCTGCGTAGGGACATGCACCCTCTTCCGGCATAGACAAGTAAAAATATTTGCTGTGTGTCGACAACTACGTGGTAAAATCCCTTCTGACTCATATCTAGTATAAATGGGCCCCTATGTCCCAGCGAACCCTTGTGCTCCACATTCTCAACAATTGTTATGTTAGGCTCTAGTCCACCTGTTGCATTCTTCATTATATAAACTCTTGGGGAGAGTCGGGGACACTAGGACAGATGTGCAGAACTCTCTCCACTGAAGTGCTTGAGGGGTGTAAATAACTGTTAGCTGTTTTAATTCCCCATCTTCTTAATCCGGTCATACATGGATCGAAATTCGTCTGGTTCAGCAGGGAATGCTTAAAATTTGATCCATGCATGGGAATTCTAGTTGTACAGGAGTTGATCTACTGGTTGACTTCTGTACAACATGATTGTTGGCTTTTTTGCCAAATGATCAGTGCCACCAGCTATAGCCGAAAGCACTGATCAGTGTAAACTGAAGGTGGGGATGTCTTCTTAGTCTCCAGAATACAATAGCTCAGTAGGAAGGATTCCCCCATCCACATCGAATATATGGGTGGGGGAATTTCGAGATTTTTTTTCCCTTCAACCCGCTGATTAACCCCAAAAAAAAAAAAAGACTAATGTATGGGCTGCCTAATAGTGAGTGAAATATCACATTTTAGGTGGATGATAGGGATGTCCCTTTAACCTATGGTCTTTGAACGTAAGTGGAACCATGCATTGTTGGACAGTTTTTTTTTTGCAAGAAATACCATCATCATTATATCATCTGTAGTCATACACATGCCATCAGCTTCAATGGCCAAAGCTTGAATGCTTTTTGTTAAAGTAGGATTAATCTGCATTTACTAGCCAGCAATATGCAGCTTTGTAGCGTATAGAACTCCAAAATGTATGCAATTTACCCAAAAGAACTATGGACTTTGAGACAAATGCTACTTTTGTGTACATGGACTGGCAGCTTACAGAATGTTCTGTCCTAAAGATAAAACAGGAAGTGAAAAGAAATACGGTATCTCCAAATTAAGGAATATCCCCTCTTAGACAGCTGTCACTTGTTCTGATTGGAAGATTTCCCCTCTATTCCTGTTCAAATGATAACTCAAAATATCAGATTTTTCCTGTCTTTCAATTATGGTGACAACAGTCCCCAGGGCAAATAGAGAGAGGGAATATCTCCAGTGGACACAGACAGCAATAAAAAACAGATATGTAACTTCTCACCATTTTAATATAACTGGCTTTATATACTGTACATTTGAACTTTTTAGCTGTCAAACACTTTTCCTTCAGGAATTCATACAGTGACCCTAGATTATTGCTTGGGGATCCCCGCTCAGGCTGTTGTTGTCCTGTAGGATGGAAGCTGTTGAAACAGTAAGAGAGCAGGCTGGTGATGGATTCGTCCAGACCCAGAGCATGCAATCAAGATGAGAATAGGTTACCCGACTGCCTCACACCTCACCCAGAGTAACCTCCATTATTAAGCCCTGAAGGCGGGGGTAGGGTGAAACGCGTTGGGGGCATGGCCTTTATGGACCGAACTGAGACTGCTTTTTACCTGTCTACTACATGACCAAGTGAGGGGTGCAGCAGTCGGTAAACCTTTTATCATCTTGCTAGGGAACCATACAAGTTATAGTGAAAAGGGCAAAAATCACTCTAACTGTATCAGTGTCTTGTAAATTAAAGCATTCTTACAAAAAGAGAATTCACATATCTCAATCCACTGCATATCCCAGAAATAAGAGGGTTATTCCTCATCTCTTAGATTATAAACTCTAATGAGCCGGGCCCTCTGTTTCCTCTTGTACCAAATTGTATTGTAACTGTAATGTCTACCTTCATTTTGTAAAGCGCTGTGCAAACTGTTGGGGCTATATAAATCCTGTATAATAATAATGATGATTTCAGGACAATGGCTGGAACCATGAAAGTTATTTATTTTTTTCATTTATTTACATACTTCCTTATGTTAACCAGCCAGATATCCATCCAACACCATTGCTATATAGTGCAAATGCAGACTAATATTATAGAACCATTTATTCCAAACTACATCCAGGGTTCTATAACTACGCCCACATTGTAGGTGAAACGCGCCAACGAAGGAGTTACAACAGGGGCGGACTGACAACTCATGGGGCCCCTGGGCAATAGGGGATCATGGGGCCCCTGTGTCCTTGCCCTAACTAAAAAACGCCTATGAAAAAGGTACCAGGGGCATCTCATGGGGCCCCCTACAGACCCCGGGCCCTCGGGCAGTGCCCGAGTTTCCAAATGGTCAGTCCGCCCCTGAGTTACAAAGATGTTGGATTGACCATGTAATGTTCTGTAAATGTAAATAAAGCTTATTGTGGTTGAGACAAAAAAAAAAAAGAACAGGGGCAGGGGCGGACTGACCATTTGGAAACTCGGGCACTGCCCGAGGGCCCGGGGTCAGTAGGGGGCCCCATGAGATGCCCCTGGTACCTTTTTCATAGGCTTTTTTGAGTTTGGGCAAGGACACAGGGGCCCCATGATCCCCTATTGCCCGGGGGCCCCATGAGTTGTCAGTCCGCCCCTGAACAGGGGTGCGCGCCCTAAACCTTTGCTTGCTACAATTGTTGTCACCCTAATGTTGTGCTGTCCCAAGCGGCAGAAGGTGGTTTTGCATTGTTTTATGTGTTCATACATCCCATTTTGTAATATGTAAATGACTGCTGTTGTGTGTCATTGATGTGAATTTAACTCTAATTCATCTCCATAACAAGGTGTATTTTGTTTTGTAGCCATGTAACTGTCATCCGACATGGAAACACAAGGTTATAGAGCACATTCTGCAATGTTCTGTGTATGGCTTATCTATGTTCAGCTGGAACAAAGCAATACTGACGCTTCATATTAATATGTTATCGAGCTGCTCTGTCAATAACATCTAATGATGTTTAATCCATTGTCAAAGAAAGACTCATTCCTGGAGACATTTGGCTGGGAAATGAAAGGACTGTGCCCTGGAAGGATAGGGCATATGGATACAAAGACCCACTGCTAGACGCAATAAACATACTAAAGTGGAAATCAAATGTTAGAATAAAGTTTTGCGCACAACGGGGCTTTTATAAACGTTTTTCTGCCGGCAGGAGAAAAGCAGCTTCAAAATGCGCCCAAGCAACGTTTCTGCAAACGCATTTAGGCGCATCAAGAGCTTGGGCATTTATTTCATTGGCCAAAATATTAATCTATTCTGGCCACTGAAATAAAAAAAAAAAACACTCAAGTCGTAAACCACCTAACGCTAGGCAGGTTTATACTTGTTTACCTACGTTTGGGCGCGTCTGGTGATTTTTCTGCCAAAACGCTCTTCTCTTGAATGCACAAAAGGGATTTTTTTCCTTGCCTTTAAACCAGAAATGCTCAACTGTTTGAGGAGAGAGGGCCACTCAAGGCTCCATTCACACTGAGCTAAGCGTCTTTCAGGCGTTTTTGAGCAGATTTGCAAAAAAAATATTATAGTGTGTTTTTTCAGGCGTTTTTCCTTTAGGCATTTTTGCTTTGGCCAATAGAAATAGCTGCTGTTTGAGCTGGAAACGCCTGAAAAAACACTTGAAAAAACGCTCATTTCTACTGTGCAGGCGTTTTCTACTCAAGTCTAAAGGGACAAAATGCTTAGATCTGCCTGAAAAGTACTTTTTTGAGCAACAGGCAGCTACAGCCAACAAAATGCTCAAGTATGAACAGGGGCCATTGGAAATAATGAGATTTTGCTTGTTGAGCGTCTTTGAGCGTTGAGCTTTGAGCTGAAAAACACTCAAGTGTGAACAGGGTCTAAGTGTAACTGGTTGTGGGCCACTATGAAATGAAATGGTGCAGAATTTCGAATTTTTATATTTTGATAGCATAATGAATATTTTCCTCTTGCAGCCACTGAATGCCGGTGGGAGGAGGGAGAGGAGCTGGCATTCAGCGGTTGCAGGAGGAAAATGGAGAGGATCGGTTCCTGTACATGCCGCCCCTCTTGTCCAGGTGTAAAGTATAATGTGACAGGGAGGACCTCCTGGGCCCTCTGGAGCATGGGGCAGGGTCCCCATTGTGACCCCTGATGTTACACCAATGGTTGAGGGGGGGTGGTGTGATTAAAAAACACATCTCAATTAAGGGGTTTTGCAACCCCCCCCAAACCGCAATTGTAAATGAGCCCTTACGGTCATGAGCCCCCTATAGAACTGCTTTCTCACTGATGAGCTGCGGTTTACCCGCACCGTGGGTGCAGAAATGTGCAACTGCAGCTTTCCTGCAAGTTAGCTGCGCTTGCCATAAACTTCTATTCTATCTCGCGTGTGTGTGGTGCACTTTATTAAAGTGCATCAAAACTCCCACATTCAGAGGTTTTGGTGCACTTTCAGAAAGCACACCAAACCCACAGGATAAAAAAAGAAGTACACTTCTTTGGTTTGAAGTTGAGGTCCACATCAAAGGACTCAGAGGGCCACATGTGGCCTACTGGCCACAGGTTGAGCACCCCTGCCTTTAAACCTTTGTAAATGCCTATAGTGTACAGGGACACATAGGCTAACATGGAGGGGCATTTAGCGGCATGAAAAAAAATAAAACCCTCGAACACTTGTAGCAGTGTTTGTGAGCTCAAGTGTGCATGAGGTCTAAAGCTAAAATAAAAGTCATGCTGGGATGGATAAAGGATTGTTTGAATTCTAAAATACCTTTCCTGGAAAAAATGCTGCTGTAGGTTCCTTCAGTACTGCCCACAAAACTGAAAGCCTAGGCATATCGTCACATGATCTATGCTGAGAAGGAGAAGGAAAGTTCTGATCAGAAACTGATTCATTGCTAGTGTGTAAGAGATAACAACATGGTCAGTGGGACGCTTTGGCTGCAAATAAAGGGTGCCTGCCCACTATCATGCAGGATACATGTAGATTCTGAGAAGCAGGCTCAGTTACAATGAGTGACAACACGGTGTGTACCCTGCATGATGTGGAACTCGAGTTAAAGCGGAACTTTACTCATAACAACCTGATAAACATAATGTTCTTTATCGAGGAACATGTATTCCACATTAATAATTATGCTATCAAAATTAGTGTGTGCTGTAAATTGTCACCAGCATTCTTCCTGCTTCTTCTTGCTGGAGCAGGGGCGGACTGACAACTCATGGGGCCCTCGGGCAATAGGGGATCATGGGGCCCCTGTGTCCTTGCCCAAACTCAAAAAAGCCTACGAAAAAGGTACCAAGGGCATCTCATTGGGCCCCCTACTGACCCTGGGCCCTCGGGCAGTGCTCGAGTTTCCAAATGGTCAGTCCGCCCCTGTGCTGGAGGCTGCCATTTTGCTGAACCTCCGAGCCCCTGAGCAGCAGTAAATCTATAGGCTGTCAGCAGATTGGCCTCTGCAAATTAAGTACAATGCCTAAAAATAGAGAGTAACTGAGCATGTGCAGAGCAGGGTGAGATATTAGACAGTATAGGCCTTTATTTTTAATGCTTTACACAGCTATACTTGGAAAAGGGGCCATCATGAAGTGATCTAGCAGAATTTAATTTTCCGAATAAAGTTCCACTTTGAATGATCAAGATGTTCAAGACTGATTAAAATACACTTACAGGTATGTTAAAATCCTTTAGCACAGCATAGTACAGGATGGTGCTGACCAATCAGAATCCATCTGGTCCATCCTGGAAATGCTGAAGAGGGAGAACAATGGGAACTTCAAATCCTAGACTGGCACAGGTGGCTGCGGGAGCTCTGAGAGCTCATGATCACCATAGGTAAATACAGTGGGGACCAGGAGGGAAGGGAGTGGGGGGTGGGGAGGGGGGTCCAGTGTTAGTTCATCATTTTTTTTTTTCAGTAAAGGCAAACATAGGCAAGCTGTAGACGATGTGATTTTCTTTCTTGCAGCACTTTTGTGTTCTGCCGGCAGGGAGCCTTCTCTGCCGGCAGAACACAATGGTTACTGATGGTGGCTACAACCGCCAGCAGTAATCACATGCAACAAAAAATCTGACAGGCTGGTTGTACTGTAGATGATCGATGGATCGACTTCAGTACAACTAGCCTGCCCATAGATAGATCAAATCTTGGCCAGTCCCTGCTGAACCATTCAAGATGCATTCCATCTATGGCCGTCTTTGCCCTTTAAACAAAAAACTATTGTTTCTGATGCACATTTAGGGTTTACATTTCCTTTCATTTGCCAGACGCAGGAAATGGACAGTTATTGCTGTGTTCTATAGCTAAACTTGCCAATATTGCATGAAAGCCAACACTCAACACAAGAGCATGATGTGTACATTCTCATTACATAATGTTTAACCCATTAATAACGCCAGTGATGTATGGCCTCGACCGCGTCATACATCCGTTGTTGGAAAAAATATGCTTAGCATGATAAAATAAATAATCCTAGAAGTAGCCAGGCCCTTTTGGCAGGATTTGGCATGGTGAAGATGATTCTGGCAAGTGGACGCAATGAAGGCATCCATTTAATTTTGATAAAACTTGGATACTATTGTTGCCACCTAATGAGTTGTGTCAATTGGTTTTTCGTCTTTCAAAATGGTTGCTTTCACTGTTATTAAAAAGGGGCCCTATTCAACAGCCGGAAGACAATTCTGATTTAGAAACATTACTATTTTCACTGCCTGACATTTACCCAGGCAAAGTCTACTGGAATGGTTCACAAACTGTTCATTGAGGTTGACATTACTTAACAGGTACTAAAGCATCCAGAAATGTATGGACTGCCGAAAGCAAGAAAATGGTGATCCAAATGCTTGAAAGGGTTTATACAATAAAAAATGGAAAGATAATGTAGACTTTGAAACTAGATATACACACAGCTGGTAACCACTTGGTCTTGTCCATTGGTGATATCCATTGAGACTGAGAAAATAGGAGAAATAGTAATTATCTTCCATTAGAAGACATATCCTTTAGAAACTGTCTTTCTCAACCAGGATTCCCATGGAACTCTAGGGTTCCTATTAAGGTTGCTATAGGTTCCTTCAGCAATGAGCAATTTTTTGCCCCTCAGATGAGTAACCACTGACACCAATGATCTGTTTAGCCATCTGTAAGGGAAGTATTCTTCCCCAAAATCTGACAGGCTGGTTGTACTGTAGATGATCGATGGATCGACTTCAGTACAACTAGCCTGCCCATAGATAGATCAAATCTTGGCCAGTCCCTGCTGAACCATTCAAGATCCATTCCATCTATGGCTGTCTTTGCCCTTTAAACAAAAAACTATTGTTTCTGATGCACATTTAGGGTTTACATTTCCTTTCATTTCCCAGACGCAGGAAGTGGACAGTCTTTGCTGTGTTCTATACTAAACATGCCAATATTGCATGAAAGCCAACACTCAACACAAGAGCATGATGTGTACATTCTCATTACATAATGTTTAACCCATTAATAACGCCAGTGATGTATGGCCTCGACCGCGTCATACATCCGTTGTTGGAAAAAAATATGCTTAGCATGATAAAATAAATAATCCTAGAAGTAGCCAGGCCCTTTTGGCAGGATTTGGCATGGTGAAGATGATTCTGGCAAGTG